TGTTGGACTGAATCAAGCCTCTTCACCGCTCCATCCGAGATGTTCATTTGCCTCCTCAATGCAGTCTCCAGCTTCTCCAGTTGAGACTGGAAGTTCTTATGGTCCTCCAAGCGAGCTCGTTGGAGTTCCTCCATCATGCGAACGGCCTCTGAACTGCGTGCTGCAGAACTGTGAGCAGTACTGCGCGTCTCCACCTGATCCTGATGCAACGTCTGCATCCCTGTCTGAACCTCTGCCAACGCCCTGTTTGCTCCCTCTTCTAACTCATGAGTCCTCTGTGGTGCTGTAGCGCTCACAAGAGTCGCCTGTTGGGCCCGTTGACCCGCCGCAGCGCTCTGTTGGACAGCAGCTATACTGGCTCGAGTAGCCTCATGAGCCTATTGTCCGGCCACAACACTCTGTTGGGCTGCCTGAATGGCAGTCTGCTCTGCTGCTGCTGAAACAGCTGTCGGTACTGGTCCCTGCTGACTGAAAGAAGGTGACGGTCCTACAGTACTCGATGAAGCTACAGATGGATGGTAGAGGTGGCCACCCGGATCCGTTAATAGCGGACAGAGGTTAATTTCCGTTAATTTTCCGTTAATTAACGGAAAATAACGCAAAAAACAAAAATTAACCAAAAATAACGGATTTTTGGATTTTTTGGGGATTTTTGGGTTTTAGTCATACTTATAGTTTATGGAATTCGCTATTAGAGAGTATGTTTGTATTTTATTTCAACCTATGCATACTAGATTTTCAACTAGCCGCAGTTGTTGTGACTTTTTGGGTTTTTTTTTCGATTTTTTTAGAGTTTTTTCGTTTTTTCTGAATTTTTCTCCCTTTTTCTTTAACGAAATTTAACGGACAGCTGATAAAAATTAACAAACCGGACTTAACGGACCGGATGGCATCTTTGAGTGGCCACCTCTAATGGATGGACGGATCCTGTAGAACACACGTCAACGTCCATGTCGTTCCGCCCGTCCTGTGCTTCACAAGAGTCCGCAATCTCTTTCTCCTCTGACTACAACGGTGATGGAAACTCTGGCTTTTGGCTCAGAAATGCCTCAAGCAGTCTGATAGTGGGTAGATTGGATACTGTCTGTACTGGGTCTTGGTGTAGTTGTTGACTAGGAGCTATCGGAACTCCTCAATCTCAGAATTCCTGAGACGTAGTCCTTATTGGATACGGTTCCCCCCTCACCGGCTACAGTACTAGGATTCCAGGAAGAATCCTAATGCTGTTGCAATCGCCCCTTGCCTGAGGCAGGGAAGAACTGTGGGTGGCCTAGTGCCTTACCAGCCGGGGATCGTGATGGCCCCTCGGTCACACCCTATTGGTGAAGGCTGGCCCACTTCTAAGACGTTCCTAAGTACTACCAACCCTCAAAACGGGTTGGGTCCAAGGCTGGGGATACACAGTCCCTTAGTAGGGGCCCGCCTGTGCACACTCCTTCCCCCAACTACTTGGACCTATGCGGGAATGAGCAGCCAACCCACCTCAAGGGGCCACAACTCCTTGGAGTTTTCCTTGGTTTCCTTGAGGCCACAGCTTGAGTAGTCCAACTGCCTCTCCAAACCCTTAAGTACTGGTCACTGGTGCAGTACTTCAAGTAGTACTGGCCTCAACGTAGTACTTTAGTGCAGTACTGGCCTTGGTGTAGTACTTGGCGTAGTACTGGTCTTGGCGTAGTACTTTAGCACGGTAGTAAGAGCTTCAGTACTTGTAACGGCTCAATTGGGCTCCTCCTGGCACTGTGGTGGCCGCCTGGCTCTGCCGTGTGCCGCTCCGGGTGCTGTGTCACCCTGCGCAGTCCTACGTCAGCTTGCGCCCCTCGCGCGCCACTCCGGGGCGTTGTGCCACCTTGCGCAGCGTTGCGTCAGCGCGTGCCGTGCCGAGTGCGTGCTGTACCGGTGCCATTGTCACTGCGCAGTGTACTGCCGCCGGGGGGGTGCCGCGATGCCTCTCTGACGTCGGATTGGTGCCGTGATGCGGCTGACTACCCCCTCCGAGGTGCCTGGGTGCTCCTCCGCCGCCGACCCGCCGCCTCAGTGCATGGCGAGGGTCGCGCTCGCTTTGCGCTCATCCAAACTCCGCCGCGAAGGCCTCGGAAGGCCTCCTGCCGTCGGGCGCCGGCTTTGCCGCGGCGATTCGCTGATCGATGGCTCGATTCGGCGGTCGCTGGCCCGGTACCCGTATCCGCCTCCTCCGACCCGCCGAATGGCGACCCAATGCTTGGGCCGCCCCGCTCTTTCTCTTGCTCGCAGCCCTCCGCCGCGGTTCGCCTCAGCTTCCGCGCTCCGAAACCAGCTGATGGGTTTGCGAATCGCGCGTTGCCGCCGCCTTGGCGCCCGGATGGCCGGTAATGGCCCTCGCGGCCTCGATTGGCCGTGGCTTGGATGGGGCGTGCGCTCGGTGCACTCCTAGGTGGTGGGCCCAGATCCCTGGAGGATCGCTGGGGCCGCGGCAAGGGAGTCCGGGGTGGTGCGAACTCGGTCGCGCGGGTTGTGGTCCGATCAGTGCGATCCGGAGGCCGATGCCAGAATCAACGTGCAACAATGGATTACTGATGACACGACCGTAAGTCTTTTGTGCGGCTGGGCGTACCGCATCCCGGGTCGCCCGCCGTGGGCCCAAAAATACTCCAAACCACTCGTGCTCAGTACAAGCGTTCCCCAAGCTGCTATAAAGTACCGCAGCTGACCAGAAATCACCCAAATAAAAGAGCAACCTCCTAGGGCCCTAATCCCATCTACTAGGGCCCTTAATTGGGTTGCCAATTAACATAAATTAAGGCAGTAATGTTCCCAATAAGAGGCCTCAGGGAACAGGGGGAAAAGTCAAGGGAGTAAACGGTCTCCCCATGTAATTCCGTCACAGCGCTGCGCCGCCACCTCTCACTGATAGCAGGCCCCGGAGATCGATCCCCGTCGAGCATTGGGCCCACCGCGCGACCACAGGAGCGACTGCCCCGGATACGCCCACCGTCCAAGGTGGAGAGGGCCGGCTGACCTCCAACAGCCGAGCTGCAGGGCAGGGCGACCCCAACGCCTCCGGAAACCAGCGGCTGCCGACGGGGTCGCAACATGGCCCTACCGATGGAACCTAGCCCCCTGCGGACCCTCTTGCTTGGGGAAGGATCTGGGAAGGTCCGCATATAGTTCTACCTTGTGATGTGCCTGCCCGGTGATCTGATGTTGCTGGGGTGCGGCTGGGCCCGCACATTGTCCCGTGCGGGCGGGGCACCCATTGAGGGCCAGTCAGCGAACTCGATTTGTCCAAGTGCCTGGGCGCATCCCCGACTAGTGGTTCGCGGGCAAAGGCCACTGTCGATTTTGTATGGATGCGCCTGGTGAATGTCCCGGGAGGCTCGTCATTGCTTGGTGTCAAAATTGGCTATCGCCCGAAGGTGCTGCCCTTGACGGTGTGGCTCCACACTGACTGGCATGTGTGTTGGTTAAAATAGGTGCCTGGACCTGCCGCGAAATGGGCGGTTGGACGGTCCCATCCACAGGAGAAAATACAGGATGACCAGCCCCAGATGTGACGCAGTCCACCCTTGGCTCAGCACCACCCCCCAAGCCGAGTTGCACTAGAGGCCGGGGAATGGTGCCCGCCGGAGTGGGCGTCGGTTGCAGGTGGGAGGGGCGGGCAAGAAACGGCCCAATGGGAAAAGAAGCACCCGCCCCAAGATGCTTGGCGGGTCCACGTGAGGTGTGGCTTAATGCAATTCAAATGGCCCCTTTTGAAGTGCATACGGGAAGCGTGAATCCATGATCCCCGATGCTTCAATGGTTGGCACACGGCTAGATGCAAGGCCACACCACACACAAAACGCCCGGGGCTTGCATATTTCTTCACCCTTCCCACGATGAAGAGCCTTGCCAATGGTGGCGATGACCCCCGCAACCGAGCAATTCGAATTTCTTTGCACCCACAGAACTCTTCTTTTCACATCACAATGACCATCATCCATCAACAACCAGCCATATGCTAATTTAGAGATGCCCACTCATCGCCACAATGCAACCCACTTCATAAAACATATGCCAAAGGTGTCCATACACTCAGTGGCAATGTAGAAATGTTTCAATTGCCAGTGCAACCCCAACCATAGCATTTGTCTCTGAATCAGATGGCATCTCCCACAACAATCAACTTGATGCTCACAAAAGTCCCATCACAAGAGAATGATTCTGTGAATTCTAAAACTTTTTTTTGGCAAATTCAAAATGCCTTGCATATAAACAACGTTCTTGAAGTGCATACAAGCCGCACACCATAATGCATAAGTGATGCACCAGTGAAATGGTGGTCGTTCTGCGGTGTTGCGAACAAGGCGTCAAATCGGACCCCATGACTCAGGCGACCTTCGGACGTCAACGAGGCGACGTCCTTGCACCCGCTGACACGTTTTCAGGTGACACACCATGTCGCGCATCCCTGAGTAGACCCCCCATCTGCCGTGCTCCGGCTCCTTTCACCCGCCCGCCTGCGGCGAGGGATCAATGGTCTGATCCGCCAGAGGCCGGCGCCGATCAGCGGGGCGGGACATTGCAACTTTGACAATGCAACTTCCTCCCACCCTCGTTGCGCGAACTCGCACTTCCAACACAACTCGGCCCCCGGGGATGCCGACCGTCAAACGAGCGGTCACCCAACGCACGGCCCCTCCTCCAATGTTGATGTCACACCATGAACATCGCATTGTCCAATCAAGCCGATCTGTACGCGACAGCGGCCACCTCTTCAGCGCCCGCACACCCCCCCCTTGCCCAATTCCGCTGATATTTTTGTGTTGTGCGCCCTCTCACCCCAGTCGAGCTGTCTGAAGAGACGCCCGCAGAGGAAGGGACCATTCGGAGCGGGGGGAAGCGCAACGCCAGTCGAACAGCGCGCCAAGGAGCCCACAGCCCGCGGCCGGCCGCAGGTCCCAGCCACACCGAGCGAGGAGGTCGCCTTGGCCTGAATTCGGGGTCGTCTGTCCCCGCGAGCGCGCCTGGGCCGCCCCCGTGTGATGATGGCCCACCCCGACAGCTCGGCGCCTCCCAAGCAGCCGAGGGTAAGCTGCGCGGACGATCCTCCACCCCCCACCCCACACCCCCACGCGCCACCGGACGGCCTAGCCCCATCCACGGGCATCTCGCCGGTCTTCGCCACCGCGTCTTGGACCCTGGCCCTCTGGGCTGGCCGGGTCCCCCGTGCGGTTGCATCAGGAGTTGGCATGGCCGAGAATCGACTAAGCGGGCCTCGGACGCGCCCAGAGGCGGGATTGCTCCCCATTTGCTTGTTCCCCTTAGCCTGTGCTGTGATCCGGCCCTTGCGAGGTGCTCGGCTGGGCGCGAGAGGGGCGCCTCTCCGGTGCTGCCGTGCTGACAGGCCCCCGTTGCGCTCATGGCCGCAGGCGGCCGACCCGGCGGCAGCCGAGCAGGAGCAGGCGTTCGCCAGAACGCACGGCCACCTGAACCTCAGCCGCAACCTGCTGAAGAAGGTGGGCGCTTGCACAGAAGCTGGTCGGGCGCGCCATGGGGAGGCCGCTTCGGCGCCTGCCCGCCTCGGAGTGTCGTACCGGGACTCTCGGCAGGGGTGAAAGAAGGGGGGAGGGGGGGTGGAACGCGTGATGGCGTGGCTGTCACCGGTGCCGGGCGGCTGATGGTGGCACCCAGCGTGCCCCGTCGAGTTGCGCCTCATCGGGAGCGTGGCGCCCAGTGGGTCTGGCCTCCCACCTGGCTTGGCAACCCGCCCGCGATCTGCGGTCGGAGCCTCTGGTGGGCTCGGCGATGGCCGAAGCGGGCGGAGAACCTGGGCCGAACGCGTCCCGTCCCGGAGGGTTGGTGCAATCCGGGTGGCGGAGCCTGGTCCGTCGCGTTGCGACTTGCTTTGCAACGTTGATTGTCGCAATCGCGTGGGGATACTGCCGGCCTTTCGAGAACGCGCTGCGCCCTCTTTCGCTCGCCCGCACGCTCTCTTTTCCGCTTGTCATCGCAGTGGCGAAATCCAGATGGCGGAGCCCGATCTTGCGTGCTGCTTGTTTTGTAACCTTTTGATGGACCCAACCACGCGGGAGAACGCTCTGCATTTCCACAACGCTCTGCGCCGTTTAGTGTTTGCCCGCGCGCTTTCTCTTCCGGCTGTCGTCGCTGCGGTGGAGCCCAGATGGCGATTCCCGTTCTGGCGTCCTCCACCTTGTCTGCAACATGCATGGTCCCCATCACGTGGGGGAACGCCCATGCTTTCCACACCGCTCTGCGCCCCTTTGCGTTTGCCTGCGCTGTCCCTTTGCCGCTTTTCGGGGTTAGATTGTCATGAGATGCATGACAGCCTGACAGTGTCCGTGCCACACCGCAGGCAAGCACCAAGAAGCGGTTTGACTCCGGCGAGTGGGTAATGGAGCGCGCCGGCCTGTCGTGCTCGGAGACGGTGCCCGCGGACGTGCCCGTGGAGCAGCTGTCGCCCAAGCTGGGTCCGGAGGGCGGCCCCCTGGAGCGCAGGCCATCCCGCCTGGAGTCGATGCTGCCGGAGCTGGACGCCGAGAAGGAAAACAGGGAGCGCACCGATGGCTAATTTTTTGGCGGGCGTGGCGAAGGGGGGGTGCGGGGCCGCGCCGGGGCGTGCGCGGGATGGCGCCCGCCTGGAAAGACACTCGGGGGGCGCGTGGGCTGGGATATTTTGGATCAACGGGACGTAAATAATTCGTCGACGCGACAGACACAAAGAGAGAGCGTTCAACTTGGAGGGGGGTGGCAGGGGGAAGGAGGGCGGGGGAGGGTGGCGTGTTGGCATAATGGACCCAGGCAAAGGAGAGCCTCTGGGTTGAGCCGCTTGTTTCCCGAGTTTAGGACGCTCGGATGTGCATAACGTCGTGGGCCAAGTCAAGATTGGCAGTCCCTATATCGCACAAGCATTTAATTACATGGAACAGGGGGCGGCCAGGGGAGTGGAGAGATTGCATTGTTTCCTGCGCTGGACATACTGTCATGGCCCCGGCCGATGTGGGTGGCCAGCATCGGCGGGGTGATACATTTGCTGTGGTCTGAATGGGTATTCAAGCGATGGAGTGTAGTTTGATGGGGGGCATCGTTGGGACAGGAGTAGGCTTTTTTGTGCGTGGGTTGGCCCCTGGGCTGGCCCCTGCTGGGCGACAATATCATAAATGATGCGACAGGTTGAGTGACGTATTTTTTTTGCCTTGTCTCAATAAGAACTCAATTGGAGGCTGCTACCCTCTCTCCCTGCTCCCCGGAGGAGCTATGTGCTCCCCACGGCTTGTGAGGACTGGGGGGTGAAGCTTTCAAGGTTGGATGGCATTTCAGGGGACTGTGCATCGGGGGAACAAACATGCCCAGCGGGCGCCATGTCAGGGGCACAACGTGGTATTTACCTAGCGATGCCCCAAGGCGCTTCTATATTTCTCAAAGAAGCTTTTTGTCTGGAAGCGTTAAGTTGAGTGACTCGAGAAGTACTGCATGAAGTGGGCGGGCGCCAGGACAGGATGGCCCACAGTTGGTGGAACCCTGTTGCGTTGGCCTGGCCCAACATTCCGGGTGGATGCGCTGCTGCAGAGTGTGCCGGAGCAAATGGTTGGCGTTGTTGGAGTTGCTGCCGTTTGCGGAATATCTCTTCCCTGCGGTTTCGGCGCCTTGCCCCTGGGACGAACAGGGGGCAAGTGCTGTGTGTTTCCGAGCGGGTTCTTTTGTTGACACCTTGGCAGCGCACCCTTTAATAGACCCTTCTTGTTATGGGAGGCTCTTGTGTGTGGGCCAATGAACGCTCGTCATAAGCCAGCGCTGCCTCACGCTTCTGGGACACATTCCCGCGTCGCTGAGCTGTCGAGCATGCCAATCGATCAACCAATAGTCGCACACGGAGAAAGAGGGGGCATTGGAAGCCGCCTGTTCCACGCGAACTCCCAGAGAAGCAGCGCCTTCAAGAATGCGCCAAAGATGCGGTGAGAAACCGTAGATGGAGGTGTTGTGCCCACGAGCAGATGACGCAGCGGCAGCTGTGGTGCACACGTGTCCGTTCTGCGCCTGTGGCGCATTGTTACGCGGTACACCAACGCTGCGAGCTGCCTCCACCGCCCCAGAGGGCACCCCTAGCGCTGCACCAGCAGATCGTGTTCTCCGGCAAACAGCGCGGGGCCTTGCCGTTGTCATCTTGGGAACGGTGAGCATTCTTATCCAAAGCACTACACAATGCACGCGATCCGTTTGATTTGTCGTGAGGCTGCTCCAGACACAAGTTTGGGCCATGAGCCCACCGCAGCATCAGCGTGCATGTGAAGGCAATCTTCGCACAAGGTGTCCAACCTGACTCCGTTTTGGGAGGCCAGGTGGCGTCGGGAGCCCTATGCTTCGCTCCTCCGGTGATGTTCTGGGGGCCTGCTGTCGGATGTCCTTTACGGTATGACGCTGTTGAGGAGTCGCCCTGCCATGTCTGAGGCCAATGGAAATCATCGAGGTCGCCCCATGTCCCGTTGGCAGCATCCAGGTCTGGCAGCAGCGCGCGAGCGTGTCATTGGGAACAGCTGTGGCGTCACTTGCCAAACGTCCAATCCAGTCCTGGATTTGCCTATCACTTGTGGGCACGAGAGAAGTCCGAGGCGACCGCCCCGACTCTTGCCACCATTTCGTTTGGATCCGGCTGTGCTCTGATTAGTTTTGCAAATCGCTGCGCGATTCTTTTTCACCGGGCTGCAGCAACCAGCAGCAAGTGGACGTGTGAATCCCCTTGGCTGCACTTGTCAAACACAGACGACAGAATAAGGCCCTTGCAGCTGGGGAGGCGATGAAGGGAGCATGGCCACGCGTGTCCTCTTCGGCGTGTTGCCCTTTACATCGAAACGCAGGCCGTGCACGGGTGCCTGCGGCCAACGGTTGAGTCGACATATGAGCCGATTGGTCGATACGGGCAGCAATTAGATCGAATGTCCACGCACACAATGCGCAAGAGTACGCCCCCCCTCTGCCTCCAGAGCACCTGGCAACGCTTCGCCACCTAGCCACGGTGGCCTCTGAGGGTGAACTCGAATCGGTCGTGCAAATCGTGGCAGCACTCTTGGTGCAGGCCACCTTACAAAACGGGAACCAGACTGCCTCCCGTGAGCCGCACACACACGCACACACACAAATGATCAAGGCGTTAATACGGTTCGGCAACCTGATGATGAGAATCGTGCATTCGGGTTTAGTTCCTTTTAGTTCGTATTCCCCCTTCAGCCCCCGATACCATCAGGTTAAAGATTAGCCTCCTCCATCGCTTCGCACGCACGTTCTGCTCGAGAATTCTACGCCTTGAGCAATTCGCACACATCGGTTGGAGCCCCATTTCTGGTCGCCTTCCAAAATCTCGGGCGCCTGGTCACTGCTCGACCGGCACCCAGGGAGCTTCTTTGAACGGACATCAGCAGAGCGGGGACGGGGCGTTTCGCCATTGTGCTCATTGACTGCTGCCAAGCCAACTCAAGCAGGAGACACAACCCCTAATCACAATTGCTGGGCAAGCTCATTAGCGCCCAGGCTAAACCAGTCGCCATCTTCTGCTATGGCACCGCCCATCTGGCCGCACGAGTTGTCCACCGCTCCACTTGCCCCGCCCATGCCGCCCCAAAACCAATTCTCATCAATGCTGCCAGAGAGAGCCGAAGCGCAACTCCCGCAGCCCCCTAATCCCCCGCAATTATTGCATCCGTCCACACGCCCACCCACTGGGCTAATGAACGGGAACTAAACACACACGCACACACATCCCCCAACCGGCAACAATCTAGACTTCAGGGGCGCCGTCAAAACGAGATGGACGCATGTGACCCGCAGAGCCCATCGTCCATGCCAGGGCGCAATTGACAATAATCGTGTGTGGCTCAGTCGATGGGCAACACAGCAACTGACTGGCGCTCTCACAACAGCGCTGCAATAGCCTCGTCACATAACGTGGGCATCCCGTTTGCAGCTGCCCTGACCGCGGAGCAAATCGTGGCCCAGCTGTGATGGAAGAAAAAATTCAAATGTTGTTCCAGAGGGAACGAAGAATGCGCCAAAATGCCACACCAGTCCCAATTGCGCAAGCTCCTTGTGCGCCCCCAACCGCGCCACGCGGATTTCAGTACTTTACCCCCATTTCAAGTGTCTGCCCTCCCCCGACAGGTAAGGAATTGTACATGGCATAGAATCGCCACAGCACCTTCTAGAGAAAAGGGCATTGGAGGGGAGGCAGCAAGCCACCCACACAGAACTTGACTCATGCCCAAGCAGGCATCGAGGAAGGCGTGCCTGTCGTAGAAGCGTGGAGAGAGTTGAACACACAATGAAATGCGGAATTCATGAGAACTCCTAACTTCCCAAATATCTATCAACACATACTGTACATGGGGCCCTTAGGCCGGCCCCCAACTTGCTAGCACACCCTCAGGGCGCTGCATCAAGGCGCCCATCTAGTCCACCTGACAATTGCCGTCGTCGCTCCCAAGCAGTTCCAGCCAAGGGTGCGACATCAGCGCCGCTGCTGTCGGCCGCTCCCGGGGACTAAGTCTGAAGATCGATGACAGAAAGTCCTGCCCCTCCAGCGACAGGAACTGTTGGTCACGCACGAGGTCCAGCACGCCTCCGAATCGGTCACCCTGCACCTCCTGCCGCTGCACTCGGCACATGGCCTCTGCGGTGTCCGCGAGGAACGGCTGACGGCCCGTCAGTGCTTCGACGATGATGACGCCCATGGACCAGATGTCGACTTTTTCGTCGTAGGAGGGCAGGTCGGACTCTGAGATGCCATTGCTGATGACCTCATGGAAGATTTCGTCGGGGGTGGGTTTCATGAGCACCTCCGGGGCCATGTAGGCGAGCGTGCCCTCACGGCCTGTGAGCGGTGTCTTGCCGATGACTGCTGCCGAGGTGAAGTCCACCAGTTGCAGCTGATTGAACTCATCGTACATGATGTGCTCGGGCTTCAAGTTCCTGCGCAAGAGGTTCCCCACATATTCAGACCTTCACAGCCCCTTTCACCCAATGCAGAGTCCCAAGCAGTGCAACTGAGGAGTGGGGTGGGCGCCTAATTGTGTGAATTGCCTGACCTGGCCATTTCCTCAGCAAGAGTTTGCACAAGAAACAACCCCCAGGCAATTCTACAATTCACTGGCATACTGGATAGAATGTACAAGAAAGGTTCCAGTTGTCCACCCTGGCAGGCCCATATTCTTGAGCAAAGGGCATGGCTTCAACAAGGAAAAAGTGACTGTGCAAAACAGAAGCAGAAACAGCCTTTCTCCAGCAGGCTGATATGTCCCAATGTGGTCATGTCACCTGTGTACTATCCTCTTCCCATGAAGCAATGCCAGTGCAGCAACAAGCGGCTTTGCGACAAGGTGGACACACGATTCTTCTGGCATTCGACCTCCGGAAGCAGCCAATCGGGTGATGAGCGACCCCCCTGTGCACTCCTTCAGCGCAACCACCACAATGAAGTCGTCCTCAAGTTTCTTGTCAAACTCGACGATCCCATCGCTCCTGCAATCACAAGCAAGAAGCCACATCCAGAGATCCAAACTTTGTCACACTGGGTCAACTGAACACAAATCACAAGGCCTTGTGGGTAAGGACATTCTCACCCTGGTCACACACACACCGATCGAACAGTTTTTAACAGGAGGCAAGAAAGGGAAAGGGGGGGAGGGGGGGGGGGCACACAGCAAAAGAGAAACACGACACGACATGCAAGGCCACCCGATCCTCAGCAAACGTATGTGAGACTCTCATACTGTGAAGAGTTGATGCACAGTTTCCAGAGAAGGGGGTGGGTGGGGTGGGGGTGGGCTGGGGGGGCCTATCAGGGCACAGTATTTTCCCTGCTGGTAAGAATTTTCCACGGGGGTGTAACAGGTGCATTCCAAGGGTCTCTGCCGCCAGGCAACTTCCCTTCGTCACTGGAGCAGTTTACCAGGCCCGCTATCACATTCCAGGTGCAGTGGCAGTGCTTGTCTCTCTTGGGCAAATACAGTAAAAAAACAT